TTTGGTCTTGCGAGGTCACCTTAGTCATGGTCCACTATTTAGGCGAGAAAGCGCAGACGAGGGCAGCAAAACGCTCTTAAAGGACAGAGTTGAAGGAGCCTCTAAACCTTCCCAGACGCAGACGCGGAACGCGTCACGATGTGTTCTGTGAGGGGTTCAGCTTATCTTTGCAGTAGGCATGTTCCTCTTCCTTGGCGATCTGGTCTATAACCAAAGTTTCCGAGTCAATTGCGGTCCTTCGTTCACTACCAGTGTCAAAGAAGTGTAGTCATGTGAAACTAAAGCATAGATGTGTTATTCGAGATGAAATAGGTTATTGATGTCGTATGTAGTTACTAAACGCCGTTGGAGAAGGCTAAGGTAGATAACAACAGCAAGAGACATGAACAGTGACATCATTCGCCTGCAATTTCTGAGGATTCATGTTACCTAATTTTCATTTCTTTTAGCGGAGTGTGCATGTCACCTGCACTAGGTAAGAAAAGGAACCTCTACCGTCAAAAAGGAAGCTCCACTTTGGTCAGTGCGTCCAGCAGTGTCATCCTAAATCCCGTGAGTATTTTGAAATTCGCGTTCCAAGTGTGATTACCAAGACGCATGGAGTCTTAAGAACCTCGCTGGTGAACACTTGTTTTGACATCTTCATTTCATAAATTTTTTTGAGGCACGAGTAGGGATCGAATTGTTTTGTTATTTTGTTCAAAAATTAGACATATGGTATGTGGAATGTTATTGGGGGAAAAATAAAAAGCGCCATAACACCAAAACTTCCTATGTGAGGCAGGCTGTGGTGTGTGACGCGGAGACAGCGCTGTAAGGAGTGGAAACGCGAGAAAGCACGTTGACGCGAGAGGGCGCAGAGGTAATGTTGCCGCTTTTGATAGGCTGGGGTCAGACTCCGCGATCCGTCGCGCGATTCGCGCGGCGGACCGCAGGAATCGATGTGTCGCGATCAATACTGCTAGATACTCTCCAATTCAAACACCATTTCTGCTTGATAGGTTGATTGACGACTGTCCATGATCTTATTTGTTTCATATTCGTGTCAAATAGTCAAAAGGGACCCTTGCTAATCCCCGCGCGCGAATCGTGCAAAGGATCACCGAGTCTGACATCAGCTATAAGTATGGCAGCACTGCAGCACACAAGGCAAGGCCTTACCACGGAAGGCACTGAACCACTGTGAAAACTTTGAATCGAGACCTAGATTATATCATTAGAGCCTGCCGACACTAGTTAGAAATACGGAAACCTGAATGGCGAGACGCAGTCTCGCCATGAACTTACGCGCGCACGTCAAAACATGGCTGATTGCGGAAAATAAAAATGGAAAAAGGAAAAAGAAGTGGAGATTACATAGCGTATCAGGACGTTACCCGACCTGGAGGTGCTAGTCTCTACGACGATTATGCCAGCAGAGCCGAGGCTGGTCGGGACTATCCTGAAGACCATTCGGCAAGTTGCACACGCCCCAGTTAGGTGGAACCATGTTGACCTATTGGGGATAGCTGGTGTTGCAGTCAAAAATGAATGCATTCGTGTGCTCATATAACTATCACAGCTGCGGAAGTCAAATTAAGTCTGAGTCAATCAAATCAATCAATCATTTGAGTCAATTTTTTTCCCGACTTAGTCAGCTGGTAGTGATAGTAGTAATTATTTTGACTTGTATTGTTTGTTAACTGCTCTTTTTGGCCGCAGCTCGCCTTGCGAATTTTTCACAAGAATGCTGGGTTGTGAACAAAAACTTTCGCCCCAGGCGGGACTAGAACCCGCAACTCTCGCTTCTAGTAGTAATTATCGTTTTATAGGTGGATACATCGAATGCATCGGCTATTCGATTCTCTGAATTTAAATCTGCCGGACCGCATCTTCGCAGTCAAGAGATGAAGCTACCTACAAACATTGGGCAGAAGAAGCTTAAAAATATCGAAACGGTTTTGAATAAGTGCCAATTGGGTAAGTTGCCCGTTTTTAGAGTTGCTTCAACTTTCCGAGGCTGCGGCTGGAGGTTCTCATAGGCTACTTTGTATGTATTGTGAGAGGCATTGGGTGAAAATGGAGCTAGGTAGCGGGGCCACTCGACATATCGACGACAAGATCGAGAGCGTTGATAATGGACTAGTAGGAGACGAGGTAATAAACAGACACATTTCGTCAACAGGTAGGTATGACCTAAGGCTCCAGATCACATATATAGCGAGACCAGACCTAGAATTGCGACAGAAAAATAATTCAATGACCAAAGCCGAATATTATTAATGGAGGCACGCGGCAACACTTCGGTTCATGGGAGGAGGCGGAAGAGACATATGGCTATGTAGAAATCTAGACACATAAAAAGATGGAATAAGATTCTGGAGTGATTAGGCAGGACAGAATACATAATAATAAAGTTTAAATTGAGCCTTGCTTTATCAACGCGTTCCTAAGCTAAGCCGCTAGAAATATCCTTGATTTATTCTGATGTGGAGCCGCATTTTCGTTTGTTGATGTTGATGTTGGAGCCGCAGAGCAGAATCTAATGGCCCTTTCCAACTTCGTTTTAACCAGGTTTTAGATAGCCACATTTTAAAGAAATTTTGAAGAAATTAAGGTGTTTCGTATAACTTCGTATTTCAAATTTTCTTTGCGATTTTTCCTTTTTAGAATATAATCCTGTGGGGACAGAACTCGTTGTTGCGGCATATAACGAATTCCGTTCCAATGTAGTTGCTTTGCAAGAGTTGAAGACAATGTTGCAAACTACAGAGTTTGAACTTGAGAGTATGCGCAGCAGAATGATTGAGGAGGGTAGATCAAGTAAGTTGACTATCTGATGGACTTTTTTTGTTTGCATGATAGATCGCGATTCGAAGTGATAAGCGCTGAGATAACATTTCACTTGGCAGAACAGTTGAGGTGTGTTTGAGAGGAAATTTGCCTATGACCGGCCTAAAATTGTAACAGTTTGGCTCTGGTCCCTACAGCCATCATCAGAAAATCAGGAAAGAAGTTCTAGTGCACTGCAGACTCGGTCACAGACCGCGACGATTGCCTCGCGGGATGCGACACCAGCGACGACAAGCGCAGCGTATGCGACTAGCCACAAGAGGCGCACACGGGACGATGGACGCAGTCAGCACACTGATCGATATTCGGCTGCCCAGGGAAGCAAGCGGCTCGGCGCTGGCGCCGTCCGTTCGCCTGCTGGCTCGTCGCTGGCGGCTCCGTCGCTGGCGCTCCGTCGCGCTGCGGGCTCCGTCGCGCCTGACGCAGTCAGCGACGCGTATTCGCGAGCTCGCGACGGTCGGAATGTAGAACGTTCCATCGTGAATATGTGTGTCATGCAGTGGCGACCCACATTGGTGCACACCAACCCACTTAAAGAGGTTGACCACCCTCCCTTGAACCTCTTTCCACCTTTCTGAGCTCTCTGTGACAGGGTCAACCCTAGCGTTGGAACTTTTCAAGTTGACGACCTATCCATTTTCCAGAGATTTGTTATGCTCACCCTTCCCCTCCCCCCCCCACCATCATTGACGTTGGAGTTTTCTCCCTTCCCTTCTACCACCCTCCCACCATCATGGTGTTTTCATAGCTTTTGTTTGAATTCATTCCTGAGACTAGGTTTGGCAACCCAGTTAGAGGCTGTCCAGCGCGGATCCAACCTGGTTTGTTTTCGCACGGGGGAAATCGGCTTAGCATTGGGGCGAAGTTAATATACGCCACGCATTATGGTTCCGATCGGAATCAAAGTAGCATTTCTAATGCTATTTAGTCGGTACGATGGCTGCAATGGGGGGGGGTTGATACTCAAATCACTGTTTCTATCTTTGTGAACAAGTATGGTGCCACCTACTCACCATAGAAGGGTGGACAGAACGGTTGGCCGTGACGACGCACAGTCCAATATTTGATCCCCGGCTCATACACATCGTAGCGGGACCATTTGTCAACGCACGCTTCTGTAATCTAGACTTGTTTGGAACCGTAAAATAAGAAGAGGTTAGTGGCGAAAGTAGGTGAAATGTTATGGTGGGCTGCCCTAAAGAAAGTTTGTTACTTTGTTGAGGAAGAGAAAGTTAAATATTTCGCCAAGCCGGGTGTGCACAGAGGTGGGCGGGGTCAACATCAGAAAATTAATTTTGCTTCATTTGACGTCACACAATACTTGTGCTATACACGAGGCAATGTCAGGATACAAGTCAGTTTCATCATAATATTTGGTCACTCACTGACCTCATCATTGAATCTCGCAATTCTTATCAACTAGACTCATTGGATGTTAAGTATAGTTCTGAATTGTTCAGCCACTTGTTATTGAACCGCGAATGCGTATCTCAACCTTGACGGATGGTGGACTGGATCAAGATGAGTTAACTGGAGAGGAAGGAGCTGCTGCCACCTCACGTCGGATCACGTCATACATTGATTCTTCTGCGCCGTCTGCCCCTCTAGTAGTACGTTTCAAAGATTTTGTTCCTGATAAACGCGTACACCTTTTTGTTGACCAAGAACAAAATCGATAGCATTTTCTACGTAATTTCTCGTTTTAGGTGCGCAAGCGTAAACTCGCAATGTCGTCATTTCCAACTGATGCTCAGCGAGCTCGAAAGATCTAGAATCTTGAATGTGGTGCTGCTGTGTTACTCTCAAAGGGAATCCTTCCCTCGAAATTATTGCTTTCTCTACCAACATGAATATGTCAGTTTTGATCAGTCTCAACATACAAATCTCACGCACTATGAGTCAATT